TCATCGTCCCAGCCTGCCATTTTTCTGGTCTCATGGAAATCCTGACTAACTTCCTGACAGGGGCACCGAGGACCACAGGGAGACGTGGCTGCCTCCCTTGACCTCAGACTGTGGCAGCACACACACTCCCTTGCTCGCTCTTGCAAAATTTCTTGCCTGGAGGCTGCACTTGTCATTGGGCCACTGAGACATCTCAGTGCCAAGCTTTCCTCTGTGAAACCAGATTCCCATGAGGCTCACCCATCTGCAGGAGACGACTGGAAGAACAATGGCTGTCTCCATTTGCCCTAGTCCCTCCCGGTTCAGGCAGGCTGTCTCATGGCTATCCCTCCTCTCTCCTGCCATGTTCTTCCTGGTTCCTATGGGACAACTGAGGAAGGCTCCTAGATCAGATTCCTGCCTCAGCCCCACCATTTCTCAGGGGTCTCTCATGCTTGCCTGATGTGGGAGTGTCATATATCAATCTGTTGATTTCATTGGTTAAGTTATAATAAACCAACTGCTTGGCCTCAGCTTAGAACATAGATGGGAGGAGTAAACAGAATAGAATTCTGGGCGGAAGAGGAAGTGAGGTCAGACTCTGCTCTGCTCCCGGAGAGACCCGACAGCTCTGCTGGAGCAGAGACACCAAAATGGACGGAGGCTAGACTCTTCCTGGTAAGCGCACCTTGGGGTGCTTACACACATCATTAGAAATGGGCTAGTCCAGGTGCGAGAATTAGCCTGTAAGGGCTAGAGTTCATGGGCCAAGCAGTTCTTTAAATGAATACAGTTTGTGTGTTGTTATTTTGGGCATGAGCTAGCCAAGCGGCCGGGGTGTTGGGGACACAGCCCCGCCGCTCCATATTTCAACACTTGCCCTCAGTGAGTGTGTGGTGGCACTCCCTTCTCAGAAGGCTCCACAGAACTCAAACTCAAATAGCAATGACACCCTTCCCCCTTTCCTGGCTAGGCTGGGAGCGGAGAGTTGGGGAGATGGCAAAGAGAGCCCTGGTGAAGAGTGGGCTGTTTGGTGAAGGGGGCAGAAGTGGAGTCCTTGACCACTCCTCCTCAAGCCCCAGGAGAGGCATCTCACTCCAGAATGGGAGGCACTTCTAATCCAACTCTTTGAGCTTGGGCCCAGTTCTGCAATACCAGAAAAAAAAAAAACCCACCACCACCAACAAACTCAAATATTATGAAAGACATAAAAGTTAACAGGGAAGGCCATTATGGTGGAATAAATTGTTCAGGGTGATCAGGGAAAAATGCAATCTTCTGATCAAAGAACAACTACATGTCGGCCATATTTGCTCAAGTGGTGAGGAAGCAGCCTACTGAACAGGGCTTTCATGTGATCTAAAATTCCAGTTTCTTTCTAATTTTTTCTCATGTCTAAGAATATTATATTTTAGAGTACATTTTATTTTTTTGTCAAAAGATTTTCTGAGTCTGAAGACAATGCATATAAAAAGAAATGTGTTTGTTTTCAGCAAGAACTTGAGAAAAATACAGAAAGGTGCCAATAAGAAAACAAGACATAATCCAGCATTCTGTGGTGAGATGAGTTTGGTGGGACATAGAATTCAGATCTGGAACCATTTGGGATTGGATCATAAAAGGGAAATCACACTGCATTCTGATTTTACTTTATTTTTTTTTATGTTGGGAAGTTGTTTAATGAACCCATTTGGGATAATGAGATTTGGAATATGGAATCTGTCAAAAACCATCAGGGCTGTGAGACAATAAAAATGCTATTTTCATGTCCCTCAGAGTTGTTTTGGATTTCTACAGTGAAGACAGTGTGAAGGAGGAAAGCGAATGACAGAGCGGGGAAGAACGGAAGGCCCTGACTAAGATTCTCAGACTCTCAAGAAGAAAACAGGCGCTTATATTGCTCTTTGCTGCAAGGCCTCTGAGAACTGACTGCAGCAGACAGGAAGTTTCTACTCTGAGGGCAGCCTTGTTCTCGGGCTCCATTAAAGAATGGGGTCCCCTCAACCCCTGCACATTCATACTGTTCTCTTCCAAAATTTCAATCCAAGGTAGCTGGGATCCAAAGAGGTGAGGCAGGGGAGTTGAGTCCAATCCAGAAAAGGGGCTTCATTCCTAGACTTGTTTTCTTCAGAAAAGCAAAACCTCCCGTAATCTGTTCATCCACTAGACGACTCTTCACCCAGGAGGGGCAGCAGAGGGCATGGTTAATGGTGTGGACCCTGAGCCGTGTACCTGGGCTTGTACTAGTATGTGGCAACAGGCTTGTAGTTTGTCTTAGGCAAGCTACATATCCTCTGTGAGCTTTCATTCCTTCTCTGAAAATGGGTAAAAAAATGCCTATGCTGTAGAGTTATCCGAAGGAACTAAAAGACTATCTGAATAAACACATATAGCATGGTGTCCATCTCCGTGGCTCTGCTGAAGATCAAGGGTCCCCTACTGCATGCTCAGCATCTTACAAAAGGGTACAGAGAAACGTGTAGGAGGTGATGGCAGCGGAGAGGTGTATAAGGAAGGAGTTGAGAACTCCTCAGAGAGGGGCAGGAGGATGTTTGTGCCTCCAACATTTGAGCGACTGAGAGGGAAACTCAGGAGGCAGGTAGAAGTGCTCATGGGGTCTGGAGTGACCGTAGGAGGCTAAGCTTGAAGAAGACCCACATGGGGCTGGGAGATGTCCACACTCAGTGGTACCAGCGAATAAAGGCATTGCTTCCTCACTTTCTCAACAACCCTATCCAAACCCAGACGGAGACCAGAACAAGATGGAAAAGGAGACTTGGGAGATCGGAGAGCCAGCGTACAACAAGAGTAGCCAGGCAGCCTGGCTGGCAGCCCTGAGGTGTAGTCAACTTGCCATTCCCAGCATTGTAAAGAAGACCCGCTTATTTTATAATTAGCACATGATAAGGAACGGCTTCTCCCATCTTGGCGTGGGGTTCTGGAATGTTCAGTCACAACACTGGTATGCTATCTGAAGATTTCATTTCCTGAATCTTTCACCGTTGTGTCACTGGTATGTTAGGCTCCGAGACAGTCTGGAAGGGAGCAAAAGCCAGTACCTTTTTGACAACAATTAAACCCTGGGATTTATACAATGTGACATGACTCGAGGGGCATTGTTTAGCTTTTGGCAGAGCTACAAATGCCTAGGGCAGAACACCAAAGGAAAAAAAGTCTCCTTTGAAAGCTCTCTCAGAACAAATCTGAGGGAATTTGCTGGTTAATGCAAGTACATGTCTAAACAAGTACTGGTTTGCTGAGGGAGTACATGGGGCTGGCAAGCCTCACTTGGCACGGAGCACACGAGTAATGCTTCATTCTAACGAGGGATCTTGGGGGTCTATAATGAGGACTGTGTGGTATTTCCCATGTGTCTCTTTGGAACGTGGGCTGATTGTATACCCAGCGGAAGAAAAGCCATCAGAAAGAACACAGTTCCTGAAACCTCCAGGCTCTGCAAGATCACTTCGCAGCACGTGAATAAATTCTCAGAAATACACCACAGCCCCCAGAGAGAGCTTCCTTGTCCCCCACATGAGCCCATGCAGCGCAGTGATGGGCTTGTGGAAGAGTGTTGGGGAAGAGAGCTGATGTTTAGGCCAAGGTGGTTCCAGACAGCACCCCAGGATGACTGTGCATCTTCCATATCTGATTCTTTGGAAAGTTAACAATCTTTGAATGCCAAGTTCATATTTACAAAGTACATACGTTCACTTCTAAGATACAACAACATTTGTTAACATGTCATCAGTGGGACAAATCTCTTAGACTTTTTCCATAAGAGAAAGTCAATACTTCAGATTCTGGATAGGAAATTTAAAGAAAATAAACAAAGAAACAAAAAAAAAAACATGTATGAAGTAGGTGATTAGGAAAACAAACTTCTCAAATCTTCATGAATAGACTTTATCTAGTTGGTGGTCTGGCTGAAGGCAGAAGGGGTGAACTCTACGGCCTGCTTATTCTGAGGTCTGTACTCTGAATATTACTTATATCCAGCACATATTATCTATTCCTGATGGTTAACGTTCTTTCTTCTCAGGTCTGGGATATTATGTCATAGTTTATACGAAGCATGTAAAGTCTTTATACTGACTACTCTCTTCGTGATCTCTAGGCTGGCTGGAGCAAATTGCTCCATGGAGACCATGTCTCCAGAAGAGTGTAGGATTTGAGCAGGATTATAAACCATCGTGAGGTATTTGTAAGAATGTTGTCCAGAGCTCCAGGCCTAAAAGAGGAGATGCTGAACCCAGGACAAGAAAAGTCCCAAGAGGTAGTAGAGAAGCTTAGAGGAGGAATCCCCTCTTTTCTGTGTCAACATATCAAAGAGGACTTAGAATTAGAAAAAGAAATTAAAAAATTCTCTATCGTTAGATAAATGAGTTATCAAAGTGTTGAAACATGATAAAAACACAAGTTAACATGAATCAAAAATTCTTATTGGGTAAGTTTGGCACCATGAGCTTGGGACTTAAGTGTGCCTAACAGATCACATTATCATCTCTTGTGGTTTATTTATCCCGATATCCAAAACCAAGTAAGTTAAATGCATTTCTACTTATAACAGATCATTTTTGAGTAGGTTTTAAGTAGGTCCATAAAAGTGGACATTTTCACTTACAGAGGTTGGTTCATTTGCTTTCGCTTTGTGTTTGTTGCAACCTCCACTCCCCCAACAAAAGCAACAACAAAAACAAAATCCCCAGCAAAAGAAAAAGCCCTTAAGCTATAAAACTAGTGTCCAAGAAAAACATTTAGTTTAAAAACAAGTTGAAAAACGTAGCCTTGGAAGGCGCACTGCTTACATGGGATTGTTCAACAAATTCCTGCTGTGTGAGGTTTGGCATATATTTCTAAAAATATAAGCATCTGGGGAAACAAGACAAAGCCCAGGTCTTGGACCAAATGAGACACGCAGTGTGAATCTGGTAGTGATTATATCCATAATACAATATGTGCCCATATTTAGCAGCGTAGAATCTAATAGAGTACAAACGCCCAGCAGGCATGCTCCTTACCATAATATATAGCTCACGGAGAAGGTGCATATGGCGGCGAGTCCGCTGCTCCTACTGGGATACTGATGGTGGGATGTCCTCATCTCGATTAATATAAAGGGTAAAACCGTCGTGTGCTGGAAGAGAACAGGGAAGACTAATCCTTATCATCACCTCTTTACAGTAAATTCTCTCCACAGAACGAATGGTGTAAATTCCTCGGAAAGACCCATAACAGACAGCCGTGCATAGCTCCCCCATGAGAGAATGGATATAAAAACATGTACTGCAGCAACTGCTCCATTAGTATTCTTGTGTCTGTACCTAAAGTTTTGAAGCTTTATTTTATCTGATATTCACAATGGGAAATTTTTTTTAAATTTTTAAACTTTTATTAAGTTTGTTCTTTGACAATTTATATATATGCAGTATATGCACATCTATATATATTATATTATATGTATATATATGTGCGTATCATAATTCCTGCCACACCCATCCTCACTTATCTCCTTTCCACCTCTACTACCCTCCACTCCTTGCTAGAAGCTTATTTCCCGCATTCCCGACCTTTTGTTTTGTTTTACGACCTGCTAAGTTTGGCCAGTGCCATCCCCATGATGATGAATTTAGATATATCCATTGAAAAATGATGGACTCATCAGGTCTACAACCAAAGACAATGTGTGTCCCTTCCACAGAATCCATCAATAGCCACGAGTTCAGCAGGGTGGAATAGGGAATGCGAGCCCCTCTCCAATCTGTGATCGACCATTGACAAGCCCAGTCTTGTGGAGGCCCATTAAAAGCAGCTGATGCTGTTGTAAGACAATTGCATTGGCTCTACTATGCTCGGAGGCGCAGGCAGCTAAGGCGTCTCTGATTAGTTCTCACAATGGGAAATTTTTATAACATAGAAAGGCATACAAAAAACCAAAAGGGGGACCAGAGAGAGAGAGATAGTGATAGATAGATAGATAGAGAGACCAAGAGACAGACAGTTAAAGACCTTCATGCTCAGCTCACTCTCCATTTTATACAGTTCAGGGTGCCTTGCCTGCTCACAGTTGAGATGGGTCTCCTGACATCAAATAGCATAATCAAGATAGCCCCCCTCCATGAGTGTGCATGCCATAGGCATGTACAGAGGCTCATCTCCAGGTGACTCTAGATCCTGTCAAGGTGACAACGAGCCCCAGCAGTCACAGTGTGTGTGCTAGCCTTTCTGTATAGAGTTAATACAGTTTTGTTTCGGGCCTACCACTGTGTTGTGGTTTAAGAATAGTTTAAAGTTGAAGTTCTATATGCCTCTTTATCTGTATGTGTGTGTGTGCACGTGTGTGTATGTATACATATATATGTATGTACAAATATTGCATTTTTCCTTTTTATTGAAGAAAGATTTTTTTCACTGGTTACTTTTTCCCTTCTCTGCTTCTCCTGGTTCTTCCTCGTCTCCCCTCCCATCTGGATCCACACCCATCTTGTCTCTTGTTAGAAAACAAACAGGCATCTAAGGGATAATAATGAAATATAACAAGATAAAACAAAGGAAATTGGAATAGGACAAGACAAACAAACAGAAGTAAAGGAATCCAAGAAAAGGCACAAGAAACACATACAGATACACTCGCTCGCACACTCGGCAATCCCACTTAAGTTCAAAACTAGAACCCACAACATGTAAGTAAAACCTGTAGGATAATAAATAAATAAATACACAGAATGAAAATAACAGAAGCTCTGACACCATCTGTATGTACTTTTATATAAATACAAAGTGTTTCCCTATGGTCTGTCTCTTAAACATCTTTACTGTAATTTCTCTTTCTTCATCCTGTATCCTTCCTTTCCTACATTCAGTTAAGTCCTGTCTGAGTTTTCTCCCTTCTCCTCTTCAAAACACTTATGATCTACTATTACCCCCTCCTAGAGCTCTTTCTCCAATCCCCTTCTCCCCACCGCCATTTTCTACTTTTCCAGCCTCTGTGGTTGCTCCAGATTATATATTTAAGTTTACAGATTTGGAGCTGGGATCCACAGATAAGAGAACACAGAGTTTGTATTTCTGGCTCCGGGTTACCTCACTCAATATAGTACTTCCCAGTTCTACCCATTTACCGGCAAACTTGATGATTATATTTTTCTTCACATCTGAAAAGAATTCTATTGTGCATTTGTACCCCATTTTCATTATGCATTCACCAGTTGCCAGAAATTTAGTCAGCTTCTATTTCCTGCATATTGTGAACAGAGCAGCAATGAACATGGTCAAACAGATCTCTGTAGTAGGATGCTGAGTTCTTCAGATATGTGCCAAGGCGAGGTATAATTCGGGCATATGATAGATCTGTTTTTAGTTTTTTGAGAATTCACCACACAGCTTTTCACAGTGGTTGAACCAGCTTGCATTCCCAACCAACAGCGAATGAAGGTTACTCTTCCCCACATCCTCGCCAACATCTCTAGATAGTTGTTTTCTTTATCTTAGCCATTCTGACTGGGGTCGGATGAAATCCCAAAGTAGTTTTGATCTGCTTTTCTTGATTGCTAAGGCTGTTAAACGCTTTCAAAGATATTTTTCTAATCATTTAAGAAATTCAGTGTGCTTCATGATAAAAGTCCTGGATAGAATAGGCATGGAGAGAATGCGTTTCAACATAAAGGCTATGTATGACAAGCATCCCACATCACACCAAATGGAGAAAAAGTTGAAGCAATCTCATTAAAATCAGAAACTCAATGGGGCTGATTACTGTCCTTGGTCCCTTTTAACACACTGCTTGACGTCCCAGCTAGAGCAGCTAGGAAGGAGGAGGAAGGCAAAGGGGTACAAATAGGAGAAGAAGTCAAATAGTCTCTATTTGCAGGGGACCATGTCTAAAGTTCTATGAGAGAGCTTCTTGATGTAACTAGAACTTCCATCACAGTGGCCAGATACAAACCCAACATACAAAATCCAGCAAGCTTTCTATTTACCGATGACGTGCAAGGTGAGAAAGAGGTCATGCAAACGGGACCTTGTAAAACAGCCTCAACAACATCTAGGCGTGAACCTAATAATGACAGTGAAAGACCTCTCAGTGAAAACCTTAAATCTTTGAAGCAAGAAGCCAGGGAAGACATTCCAGAATTTTTAATATGATCTTACTATATTGTTTGTGTGCTGATCTTACTATATTGTTTGTGCTCTGATCTTACTATATTGTTTGTGTTGTACTGACATTACTATATTATTTGCATATTCAAGGAAAAGGCAGGAAATAAAATGTCATGATTTTTAAGTTCTAGCATTTCAGCACAATGGGATCAGGTGGCAGGTAAGTGTTGGCAGGTGAACGACCCATTGGGGATATCAAGGTAAGTATTTTTGGGAACGTTTCTGGCTCATATTTGTAAAGAAAATAGAAAGACGTGGTTTTGTAATAAGTATTAAAGTGCTGGACATTTCTGGCCTCAGCATGCTCTTCCACAGACCATCTATCTGTGAGTATCCATTAGTAGGAGTGTGACATTCCATGGGTGTAGGGTGCATGACTGCACAGACGGCTAGCTTTATATTTCGTCGGTTATCTTCCCTATTGTTGTTGTTATTTTGAAACAGGACATTCTGCTCTGTAATGAACTATACAAGAGGTGCTGTGTGCTAATGCAGAGATAGAATGTATTTTAGAGATGTATTTTACTGCTTTTTCCCTTGTAATCTAGTTACTTCAGATGACACTGACTGGGAATTTCACCAACAGTTTGAGATATCAGCCGTAATATTACAGAATAAAAAACAAAATGCACGTCTCATCCAATGTTACCCAGACAGAGATTTGCAAACTGTACTTTTACTCCGAGCACAAGGTTGACCCTGAAGGCTTGGGTGGGTTAAAGGTAACAGCATTATGGTTTGGGCTGATTATTCATGAAGAAATTCCTAAACTCTACTTCTTCATTCATTGATCCAAAGTGAGTAGGAAACGAGCCACTTTACTATGAACGGAGTGCAAACAACCAGCCCAAATACGCTCAGTTGCCCAGTTCCTTTCTTGTACCTTGCACGCCTGATGATGACCAGGTGTTGTACTTGGCAAGGCCACGGCGTGCTCTGCCGATGCCATACAGGAAGTGGTTTGAGGAAAGGAAGATCTGATAGCCCACGGCCTCCCTGGCATCTGCTGTATGGAAAGGGGGCGATGTATTCCATCAGGGACACGACCACTGACAAGAAGCCTCCAGGTGGCTCGCTGCATATGTGAAGGTGTGGGCAGTGGCAAACTCCAAGGGAAATTTTTTTTTTTAGCAAGCTAACATTCATCACTCGTAATTTTCATGCACAAAAGAATATAGAGTGTGTCATCCAAATGTTTTTGGTGCATATTATTCTTATTTATAAATAGTTTATATCAATAACAGTGTCAAGTATTTATCCCAAATAGAAGTGTTGCCTTATAGGTAAAGTTTTATGAATGAAAAACAGTGGTAAGTTATGAGTGCTCCAGCAGTAACTGAACTGGAAGGTCAAATCGGGAGCAGCAGGAGGATGCTTACTTAGATGTATATGTATAAGACCTCCCCGCTCCAGGTACCTATTTACTCCCAGGTAGCTCTCCATCTCGAGGACTTGAGCATCAGGATATATTTTCAGCTAGGACTATGACTGAATGGGAATGGAGAGCTTGCAGTGTGCTTGCTGGGATATCTGTAGCACTCAGAAGAGAGCCTGGCATAGAGGCCACCTTGATTATGAAGCCTTGCATGTGACGAAGATGTTAATAAGTAGGAGGATGTTATGAGGGCTGATGGGGATGTTAACAAGTATGAGAGGGGCATTAAGGACATATAAACAGAAATAGACTTTCCTAATGGATCAGAAGGACAATGAACAGGGAACCATCTTTCCCTATGTGATTTAGTTCCATTTAATGCCAGTGCTCTGTGCCGTATCGCACACTCCTGGGCTATGCCTATAGATAGGAGCTCAAAGCCCCCCCCCCCCCAAAGGCCATGTGTTAAAGGCTTGATTCCCAGCTTGAGGCTGTTGGGATATGACAGAAACCTGAAGAGGTGGGATCTGGCGGGAGGTATCCAGGTCACAGGGAATGTGCACGGGAAAGACACTGCGGGAACCTGGTCCCTCTTCTTTCTG